AGCTTTGAATTTGTCGATCGATTTCTCGCCGAGTTTTGGGCTGGCGAAAAGCTTTCGAAAACCACCTCATCTCAGTATTGTAAGCACTGGGTTTGTCCTGTCGACGGCTCAACTTTGCAAGGATCATTCTATACATAAATATTGAACAATGCGTGGAGCAATTCAAGTGAAAAATTTTATTCAGGATTTACCTTACCCGCTAAAAATGATAAAACTAACCAGGCCTACTAATGTTAGAGACCAGGTTCCCGCTGTCTTGTTATATTTTGGTCCATAATACATTTCGACCTCGATATTCTTTCGTTTCCAAAGCATTTTGGGGTTGGGAGACGCGCTGTCCCCAATGGCATGTTAAATTTGGGTGAAAAATTTCTCCGCATATCTCGCATAAGAAAAATTGCTGTGACCAGAATTTTGGCAAGAGTCTTTGTATATTTACCTTCTTTCATTTCCCAGATTCTGGACTATCTACTGACCGGTTTTGATTTTTATTTTGATCTATTTTGAATTGCGTGACACTAAAAACAAGCATTGTTTGCCGTAACCCTGAGGGGAAGGCCGACGGCGCACAATAAAGTACTCCCAGACCTCTTTTTGTATGCACACGCTGCATGAGGTGCTTTTTAGAACCCTCGTGTTGAGCAAATCATTCTGTTGAAGATTTTGTAGGCACAAGACCAGATAAGCGTTTTGAAACATTTTCGAAATTGAAATTATGCAAATCACTGTACTAGCAGTCCGTGGGCCCACCCCGCAGATGTACATTTCCACGTGATGTGGTCCTGGCTCATCGTACTACATGTTTATTTCGCTGCATCAAGACGTTGGAACTTGCGATAATAATGCGAGCTTGGGTGGGTTGCGTTTAAAGCCAATGTTCCTTGGATCTCGGAACGCTGATTATGTAGCATCGACGCGGTGAAATCAAGCTGAAAATCGACAACGAGAAGGTATAAATCGGACAAACTGGAAGATTTCGCTTGGTAAGTAAACAATTGCATTTCCGATGGCGACGCTTTCGTGTCGCTTTACCCGCTAATAGTCAATATATAATCGGAACTTAGTATCATTCGCCAGGGAGTAAGTCTTTCTCTCACCATAATACAAATACATTTGAACTTCCACAAGTGATCACAAGTTAAGAGGTCAGAATCCGCTTCTCATATTTCCAGAATAATTTGCTCGAGTGAATTTAACGAACTGCAGTTTTGTATTAAACTTTGTAGAGAACGTGCTTCAAAGCAAAACAACCCGTCGACGCTAGCTGAATGAACAGCTATCGCTGCGCTAGAATATATAGCGGAGTTTCGATTAGCGGCGAGTGGTGTTATGAAAGTGAACATTTAGAATGTATTTACACGGACTTACATGAAATCAAGTCGGTCTCTCATTTCGGCTTTGTTCGTATCTCTTCAGTTGACACTTGTAATCGGGACATTATTACTGCGGCGAATTTCTTCTAAACGAAATCTAACGCGAAAAATTGGTAAAAGCTGGATTTTTTTCCAGATGCAATGGACGATGACTGCTAGATTTGACATCGCATAATAAAATAATTATGACCGGATGCTAGCTGATTAAGTTGTTTCTTTGTAGTTTGAAGGCTTGCAACTGATATCACGAGAGATGTAGCCCAGACTTCATTTATATTCAGTCAATAAACCGCCAGATATTGGCAGGTATATCGTGATTTCGTTGTCTCAATCAGACGTGTTGTGTGTTCGTACAACAAAAACGAATCAAAACAATCGAATGCGCGCTCGACTGCGCTTTCGACACGGAAAAAAGAAAACAAAACATAGGCATGGACGGCGTGCAAGAGTTGTTAATTTGTAAACTAAAAGGCCCTGGAGGTAGTAGCATTCAGTGGGGTCTTCTTAACAGTTATGATGAGGTTAATCCAACAAGTTTGTTTGATTACAATGTACAGCCAAAAAAAAAAAACAAATGCATTTGTTTCATTTTAGGAAATGTGATATCAAGCCTATGTTTATCAAGGTTTGATTTTAACAGGCGATCAGTGGCTTTGTTTATTAGAACTACATGGAACTGTTACCAGCAAAACAGCTAAACATCATGGAGTCTGTAATAGTAGCTAATGGTAAACGGCAGATTGGTGTTGATTCTGGATAATTTTTCTGACTCATTTTGTAACAAGAACCAATTAAATTATAACATCATCACGCAATAGCATGGTCTTATTCTGTTGCCAGCAATGTTCATAATTTTTTCAGTTTTGATATTCCACGAAATCACTTCAAATAGATATCGATTTCAAAAACCATTTAAAGGAGAAGGCATTATTGAAGGTAAACAGCATTACCTAACTTAAGACTTGAAACAACCAGACACATGAAAAACTGTATAAATTTTACAAAACGCCATGAAATCTGTAGACTCTGGGAAGTTTCCTTGTCACATTACCCTTCTCAACACCTGAGAGCCTTTTTAGTGACAAAAAGTGAGTTACAGAAAAAGTTGTGTCGCTTAAAGGGAGATGTAAGTTTACCTCTTTGAACTGTGCCAGGAATCTGTTTCAAAACGAAAGAACCACTTTGCCACCTCAAAGTCTAATCTAATTAATTTGCAGTTTAACTTACTGCCATGAAGTTTTCAAGATATTTGATGAGTTTCCATACCACAAACCTTTAAGACCATTAAGAAAGTTTCTGCTAAAAATTTCCATTCTTAAGAATTGCCATTAACACAAAATATTAAAATGCCACTGAAGGGACTAAAAAAGAGAGACTTCCAAACATTTATATCAAGTTAAAGTTTCTGGACGTGCCGCTAGATTGGCTTCGTGTTTGTTTATTCCGACCATGAGAACAAGAGTCACTGATTCCTGTTCCTTATAATTAGTTCCCTAGTTCAGACCAATGTTAAATTGCCTTAAACATAATTTGTGAAGGGCTTTTGTTAATGGCCTTATCGATAATGATGAACAAGGTCTTGTTCATCATTATCGATAAGGCCATCAACAAAAGCTTCAAGTAGCACATACCCAATTCAAGACTAGAGTGCAAAAGCCTTACCCCATTTATGACCAAAATTGCCAAAGTCGATACCATATTTATGACTAAAACGGCTGAAAAACCATACCCTTTGAGGCCACACATACCTATATAGCCCATATGAGGGAATACTCCCCCCCAGGCTTACATGAGGGGCCCTTGACGTGACATTCACTAGATGTTTAGGTCAAACCTCCTGTAACCCCATGAGTCATTGCATTCCAGTCCATCTACGGATGTGAAGATGTTAACATAATTTATTGCTTTTAAAACGTAGAGAAAACTTTTTTTGAGTCAGATTAACCTGCTCAGTCGGAAAAATTTGCGTGCCTTAATTTTTTGCCCTATCTATTTTTCCCCTCGCTCCCCACCCCCCCCCCCCCTCCTCCCTTCACCCTAAATGTCCAGTTGGCATCAAGCGGGGAACACTCGGCAAGTGGCTATGTCGATTGTATTCTGAAATATTCATAGCTGTTGTAGCATAGGATACCTGCCTAAGTTGTACACAAAAGTGTCATTTGATGCCGACAATGAGCTGTGTGTTTCCTTCAAAACCGACGAATCGTTCATGCGGAAAATTAATTCAGTTCCTTAGAGAGCCACTAAAGAATGAGACAATGGGCTCTAAAGATATTCAGTGAGTCTGTTTAGACATCTGCTGCCAAGATAAGTTGTCTTAATTCGAAGCTTTTAAATTTCCATTTGAAAGGGCATGAGAAATTAAGACATCGTACCATTCTTGTTCTATTTGGAGCATCAGGCGATGCGCGCACGCGTACATAAACGTCTGTAGACCTGTATGTTTTTAACGAATGAATGGGTGCAATGCATAAAGGAACATTTATAGTGGTTTGAAAACACTTAACTCTCTCGCTCGCTCGCTCGAGCGTAAGCGATTTTTTGCAATTCCGCTTGCGAGGGCTGGCTAGAGGGAGGTAAAAAGGAAGCTTTTTGCCCGTGAGAGTGGTAGCAGAGGGATGTTACACTTGGGGAGGCGGTGAAAAGTGTGAGGAGAGGGGTTCAATGTTTAAATGTTGTTTATAGTGAAAAATGCGCTTAGCTACGCCTAGCTAGTTCTCGGACATGCCACTTTAACTGAAAGAAAGAAATATTTCAAATAAACGTAACAGGCTTAAAAATCCTAACTGGCGGAAGCAGACCAGTTGGCTATTTATAAGCACGACCGAGGAGTGGAATAAGGGTCTACCGAGAAACAACTCCAGCTTAGTGATCAGGAGAGTTTTAAGGAGAGTTAGAAAAAAATTAAGTTGGTAATTTGTAAATTTTACCGTGGAACCTCTCCTTACTGACACCTCTTTATTACGAACAGCCGACCTGGTCCCAGAAAAGACAGAACTCATATGATCTCTTCCTCCATATTGGGGACATCTTCATTTAAATACGGACACGTAACTGCGGCCTTTGGTGTCCGTACAGTAAAGAGGGTCGACTGTATATTTAAACACTTCAGTGGTAAAAATCAACTAAAGCGTTAAGAAGGAATGGCTAAGTACATCCCCAAACAAAATGCCAAAGATATACCAAAGGCTACAAAACACACAGAAAAGAAAAAAAAATTTGGATTCCAAATTGGGAACTTCCACTCAGTAAAAATTGTGACGTTTGGACTGTATTTCTTTTATTCCCAACAGTTCTCTTGACGCTTACAATTCACTTCAAACTCTACAATCTACAATCTGCAATCTACAATCTACAATCTGCAACCTGTTCGAAATGTTCTCACATAGCCTCGTTCTAATGATATCTTGACAATCAGTCTTATTAACTCAGTGTCCTATCTGGTCCCTGCGTTTACATTGCGTTTCTCTCAGTCACGTTACAAATTCGCATGACTTCGTGTCTCCAGGCAAGTTGTGTAATGTGATAAATGTTTTTCGGACCGAGAACGGTTGGTTGTTGCTATCCGTTTGACAAAGTATTCATCTGTTCGAACGGCAAAGGTTATCTGTTCGAAAAAAATATTCAACCGTTCAAACGGCTGCCTCTACCAAAGCTATACCAAAGGCTGCAAAATACAATGGAAAGAAAAAAAATTATTTGATTCTATCTCTAGTTATTATATCTCGCTTTTTTGCCAATCACGTCTTTTGTAAAGCCAAACAGCAGATAATTATTCATTTACATAAGCAACAAATCAAGAAACCTTAATCAGAATGTATCACCGATATGCCATCCGTTCGATAGAGTTTTTGTTTCCGCACAAGCGTAAATATGTGCAAATTTCCTCCGCGCTGAGACTGTGTTAAAATCGCGCGATTGATGTTCGCATATCTTCGAACAGAATTGTACGCAGACACAGTAAAATTTTTATAATTATCTCGTTTTGTTGGGAAAATTTCCAAACAAAAGGTGCTACTTAGGCCCCGTTCACACAAATCCGGATATTTTTGAATCCGCGACTTTTTGTTTCGGGATTCAACTTCCGTCCACACGCATCCGGCGAATTTGGCAGCGAATCCGGATATTTTTGAATCCGCAACTTTTTCTTTCTGGATGCGGCTTCCGTCCACACGCATACGGCGAATTTGGTAGCGAATTCGGATATTATTTGATCCGCTCTGCAGAGTGGAAAAAATAAATCCGCAACGAATCCGATAACGTGTGGACGGTGAATCCGGATGTTTTCGAATCCGATGACGTAGCAAAATCGTGCCTAGTCTCTTACCGAACAACGAACCAATATGGCGGCACAACGTGCAGGCCTAGTTTCTCTAGAGTGAATCTGGATACCATCGGATGGGTTTGGACAGGCGAATTCGATTTGAATACGCTACGTGTGGACGGGGAAATTTTTGAATCCGGAAAGAAAAAGTTGCGGATTCAAAAATATCCGGACACGTGTGGACGGGGCCTTAGCAGCACCTTACCGCATCCGTGCGAGTGTTGTTGTTTTTTTAATGCAAAAATGACAACCAGTCAGATCAGATGAGTCAGCCAGATCGTTCATGGTTACTAACAAACGAAAAGACTTCGCTTTGTAAGTAAACATTGTGTTTTTGATGTATTTAAGTTGCTTTTCAGTCGCTTTAATTTTTAGGTAACAGTCAATGTATCAGAGGAACTTATTGATAGTCCTCACGGAGAAAGTCTTTCTCTCGTGATAATATAAAAACATCTTTTCTTCCAGAAGCCACTGCTCATTATTCAAAATAATTCGTTCCAACAAACTTCATTTTTACAACAAACTTTATAACTAAATAAGCGGGCAATACTAGAATTAATGGTCCTTATATGGTATAGCCAGCAATTTTGCGAGTTTGTCAGTAAAAACCTACATTCGAAACTGAACATCCACATGCGTTCACCTAAGTCTTAAATAATAATCATGTCAGTCTCCCACTTTGTCCTTGTCAAAACCACAAAGTCCGTGTTGTACAGGCCCGAAAATGATCCCGGGACCGAAAATGATACCTATGACTGATACTGCAAAAAATAAGGAATGGCATGGACTCCATGAAAGTCTATGGATGTACGGTCACCTCGTTATTGCGGCCACGTTGTGTCGTCCCGGCAAAACACCCATGTATTTTCTTATAAGAAAACCCCGTTAATTTCTACGTGCAAATTTCGGAGATTGTGAAACATCCTAATGTCCTTAGCTAGATTTATTTGCATAATGTTCGTGGGCCGTCGATGAGCAATTTGTTTACTGTCATAATGTCATATAATCTCCGCCTATATGCCGAAAGCTACGCCAAAAAGGATTCAGCTTACTTGGCAGTTCTCAGTTGTCTCTAAATTCCAGAATATAGTAGACATCCTGTGTTGTAGGATGCATCTCAAGTGACCCGATAAAGACATTCGAGGAAAAACCCAGCTAAACACAAATTTCGTGACGCTGGGTATCAATTTTAAAATCGTGAAATTTGCATTCAAATCGTTCGAAAACTGCTTATTTTTATTGGGCTACCTATGGTAACTGTTTTATCAAAATAGAATATATGAATTTTTAAATCCACTGTCCAAATTTCCGAGTCCATTCGTTTCCAGCCTTTCTGAAGAAGGGACCATTCCTATGGGAATCATTTGCGTATTGCAGTACAATCTAGGCTCATTTCCGGTCCTGGGATCATTTGCGGTAGAATTTGGGGATCATTTGCAGTCCCGGGACCATTTGCGGGCCTGCACAGTGTAATCAGGGAGTTATTCGACCCAAGTTGTGACATTTGTACGTGTTTACGGTCTAGAACAACTCACTAAACCAAAAAATGGTCAAAAATTAATCTGACTGGATAGAAAGTTATTACACGGCCAAGGCAGCTATCCAGTACCAGAATTGGTCAGAATTAGTTGATCAGAATGCTCTACTACCAGTCTAATGTTTTCTATATATCCAACCGGTTAAGGTTTCTGCAAGTCTTTGTCAATCATAAAGCTCGAGTAACTTAACGAATCTCAAATTTTGGATTACATAAACATTAGCGTTAACCGTACTGCAGCTTACAGTCTGTTTGCGTTTGTCCCCAGTGAAACCTGGAAACGAGTTCGAGTCTATGGAAATGGGGCGACCGCTTACACTATCATACGTCTGTTAGTAGTCAAACTGCAATCAAGACAGGTTTGTACAAGGGTAGGGTTTTTTAATTATTTATTTCGGGCTTATACAGTCGACTCTATATTCAGACGATTAGAATTCCTGTTGCTTATGCGAGGGATGCCAACTGGGAAATTGAATTGTCTGTAGCAGTAAGATTTTTCGAAGGCGTAGCACAGGCTCAAATTCATACATTAACTATGTTATAACAGATCTATCAGAACAGAAACGCGTTGAATCTTGAAGACAATAACTCATTCTATATTCTATTTAACAAATAGATTCCATGTTGCCGTGTGTCTGTTCAGTAATAGATCACAGATGACGTCAAAATGTGGTAAGAA